TGTGCCGTCTTTATATATATATATATATATATATATGTAAAGGGGGAGGAGAAGGCAACCAGCCCTTTCTGATCTGCAGCCGCCCTTGAGTTTAATGCAATCATCATGGATCTTGGTTTTCTCTGATTAAAAAAAAAATCCCCAATTTTTGGATTAAAAAAAAGTAACCCCAAATCTGCATTTTTCTGTGATTAAAATGAAATGCTGCTATATGTTTTAGTGATATATCATTTTAGTTGTGGGAAAAGGTGGATTTGGGGTTACTATTTTAAATCCGAAAATTGGGGATTTTTTAAAGGGTTAACTAACGGAATTAACAATGGAATTAACTAGAACGACTATATACATACAAGTTAGAACCAAAACACAAGTAAAAGTGAGAAGAGCATTGCACCCAAAGTGAATGTAGCAGCAAAACTCTTGTCTTTCACAGAGCTGGGTTTGGTCGGCTGCCTAGTAACCACAACGTTTCACTTTGCAGTCTGATTTCACACACACGGGCTCTCTTTGAGGCACTTAACTTCTTCACTTCCGTATGAAACTTCTTCAAACACAACTAGGGCATGTCCAGACAAGCGGGAATGTGGGTTTCCCCAGAGACAAGTAGCAGCGGCACACCTTGTGCCACTGCTACTTGTCCCTGGGGAATGCATATGCCATGAGTGCTTTGGTGCAGTAGGTTACACTGGGTAAGGAAAGGGAGGCTGGGGCCAGCAACTGTGCTGGCCCCAGCAGCCTTACCTGGGGGCCTCCGGGAGCTGCAGTTGCAGCACTCCTGCAGCATGAGGCCTGGCTGGCAGCTGGAGCGTGGCTCCGGCCTACGAGGCTCCAGTTTTGGGCAGCATGTGCACTGCCGTCACGTGTGCTGCCCCACTTCTTTTGACATGGGTTTTTTTGACCCCCTGCACAGCAAAGCAGCAGCACAGGAAACACTTGCATGTGCAGTGAGTGGCATTGCAGATGGGTCTGCAGTGCCACTTACCACATGTCTGCACTCGTCTGGACGTGCCCTTACAGTGCTAAATGAACTCAAAACACCACAATAGCTCTCACTCTCACAAAATTCACACTCCACTTTTTCTTACAGGATCGACTAGGTGTCTCCAGTCAGGCTCTCTTGACTGAAAAAAAAACCTAGGTTCCCTTTTCTTGTAAAGGACAGCAAGGGTGATACTTCACCTAACCAAATGGAAGAATCTGATCTTCCATGACTCTTGTGGGCAGAATACAAAACTCTGGTTGCTCCAGCTTGCAGTGTCTCCAGCACCCAACTTAAGCAAGCTAACTCGCAGATATGCAACGAAATGTCCAAAAGCTTCAACAGATGGTCTGGGACTGACTTTCACCAGTTCAGTGACAAGCTTATAAAGGGGTAAATCAGCCCATCTAAACTGACCAGCCAAACAACACACACAGTTGCCAATCATGAGTCAATCACTCCAAAAGATACTTTTTCAGGAATGGACCAATTTTATCTTGAATCACCTCAGGAGTGGGACAACCTCACAACTGTCACTCGACCTCACTTTTCTGCCACTCCTGATCTTACACCCACGTGTGCTCAAACTGGTCTTACATGCATTTACTCCAGTAGGGTTAAAAGTTCAGATTTTATTACAAACTTCCTTCACACTTATGCAAATCAACTAAAGTACATTAACACAAGAGAGGGGAAACATAATTCAAACAGTGTAACAAAACTACCCAACAGCAGGGTGAACCAACTTTCCATTGATGCATAAAACCGAAGACCTGTGAAGTTAACAGAAATATTTCCAGTGACTTAGTAGCCTTCAGAACTGTCTTCTATTGCTTTCTGCTGGATCACTGACAAAGATGGCAGATTACTTCTGAATTTATATGCACTCCATGCCCATATATAATGCTGCTACTATCCTGCCTGTTGTTTTGCAAATGCCTTCCATTTCTACCGGTGCATTTCATAGGGATTTATAATATTTATTGCACCTCACTTATTTCACCATGATTTGTAGGATGAAGATTGTATTGGAAAAGGGGGTACACTAGGAAGAAATTGTGGGAGACTGTCTTCACAGACAGCAATTTTTGCTGAAGCTTACACAGTAAAAGAAATCGAACATAAAAATATAGTGTCTGGGTTAGCAAATTTGTAACTAAATTATTTTGTTGGTCAGGAATTGAAACCTACTTAAAATAGCAACTCATTTGTGCCAAACAATGGTTTGAGATGAAGGGGAAACAGGAAAAATAAAGCAGAGTAATGAACTTCAGTGCCAATAGGAATTTGGTGGAGCTATCTCAGAAACAGAGAACAAAGAAGTTGGGAAGTCAGCTTATTCAGGACAAACCTTGTGAATATTATCAAGGCTTCCAGTATCATCTGTCCATGTGTGATCTAGGACAGGAAAAGATTACATTGAACAAGATTCATATATTTTTTATAAACGATAAATGTGCGTGCATGTCGGTGCACAAAGGGTCCTTCTGACTGAGACTCTTTTGCATTTAGAAAATTTAAAGCATAAACTGCAGACATTTCCCCATCTTCCACACATGAGTAGTTCCACTTGCTATCCTCTGTCCATTGTGTTATTTACAGTAGAAATGTAATGTACCTGTAGAAGGGATTCTTAGGAGCAGCTACCGGTGGCAGAAATCCAAACAGTATGGCTTTGTTAGGAGCAGGAGCCTTTTCATGGACATCAGGCCTTGGTTTCAGAGATGTGGTTTCTCATTGGACCTTAATGAATTGTTCCTGTGGCCTGTTGTAGAGAAGAGGAGGCCCCACCTGTCATCCAAGAAAATAAACATGAAGGAATCTTCACGTGGCAAATGTAAGTTAAGATTTCTCCCTGTGCACACACTTTAGCTGGTTTTATGAGTTTTCCTGCAGCCAAAAGGCAGTTGGGTCTTAACTGACTAAGTTCCACAATACCCTCATGGGATGCATATATTTCATCTGTTTTATAGGTGGAGAAACAAACAGAATGATGGTAAATGTCCAAAATAACACGGCAAATCATTACGTCAGAAATATAAGTCCAAAGTTCTGACTTCTAGATACATGCTTTATATTCTTTGAAAATGTATAGGATTAGATTAGAGGGAAAATCTTCAGAAAGATCACAAGGCAATCTTCCTTAGGGGGCATTTATAGGAATGCAGTTACTAAAATTCCATTTTTAGCCCTAAGAGAGAAACCGGTTCATAACCAAAATAACATTTTTCTGCATGTTTCTTTGCCCATTGTATAACACAGCTTCAAACACACCACAGGGTGGGTTGTCTTGGCATTTCATCAGAGCAGAGAGGGCAAACGGAGTGATGTATATTTAGTTCCACTCCTCTCAAGGATTCCACATATTTGATGGCTGGCAAAGTACAGACCCATGTTCAGTAGCTCCTAAGGAGAGAGGACAACTGATAATTAAAAAAAAAAAAAGGAAGAAAGGGAAACTGCCTTACCTCCTTAATTATGTAAATAGGAGGAGCCATGAATTGCAGAAGCTTAAATATAAGCTCGGCAAAGTAACTTCCTGCTCTTCATCACATCTAGTTTATCAATAACATTTGTCACAGTAAAGGGAAAGCAGTGTGTTCTAAAGGACAAGTCAAATCTTCTCCGTTCCATTGTGGATGTTCACTATTTCCATATGTTGAGGTCCTGTTTCTTCATCTGTTTGATGTGCTGGGTGGGATCAGGTAAGGAAACCAGTAAGAGTTACTCCTGACCTTTTTCCAAGCAAAGAACAATAAGTTTTTAAACAGTAAAATATAAATGATCAGTTATGATTAACTATGACAAACCTTCCAATTATAATTAATATAGCAAACTTAGTCAAGTTAACCTAATTTCTTTGAATTATTACAGAGGTTTTCAGCTTAAAGTAAATATTGAAAAGCATGAAAGCTTATCTCTTTCTGTACTTTGTACGCAAACTGATATGACTACATATGCATTGTGTCCTGAAGGTAGGTGAAAAGTGTTTTGCTTATTCTGAAGTAATTTGATATTATTCGACAGTGGTTTACTAAGGATAAAGACTTTCAAAGTAGATAGATAGATAGATAGATAGATAGATATTGAGAAGGCAGGAATCAATATCTATCTATCTAATTAAACTAGAATTAAAAGAGGGTGTTTTATAAGAATTAAACTAATTGCCCAACGGATAGCTCTAACTTTTTCTTCTATAAAAATTCCTATTTGAGTACTCATGTGATAAAAAGCAATGTAAGCAATACTTATCAATGAATGTTAAAGAATTTGAAAAACTTCCTGTTTGCTTAGCTGTTACTGCTGAACAGGTAAAATTATTTATTCATATTTCAGAACCACATGCTGCAGTTTTAATTTCATTCCACTCTGCAAAGTACATATCTTTGTACAAAGCAGGCATCATATTTTTTCTCTGTTTACTTTTCAGTGAACACCTTTGTGTTAATTTCATACTTGTAAGTAAACACCTAAGTTATATGTTCCTTTTGTGTCGCATACTGCTCCGTTCTTAGATTTCAGCTATGTCTGATTGTCCCAAAAGGAGAGACTTTTATGTTTCCATAGACCTGTTTTCCAGGCCTGTATGAAGCGGCTAGTATTGGCTTTGGATTCGGGGACAGGGATTCTATTTGGCAATTTCAATTACTGTCCTGAATCGATTCAGCCGAATCTGATTCTGAGATTTGTCAGCAGCCAAATCTCCAAATCACCCAGGCCAGGCCTGTCCCCTGCCCACTCTTCCAGCCTGGCAGTGGCTGCCCAGCCCGCCCCAGCTCCCAGCACTTGGAAAAAAAAAAAAGCCCTGACTCAGCAGGTGCTGCCAGGCAGGGGGATGATCCCTGCTGCCCCCCACTGCTCCATGCTGCATGGGGGGCTCTGCATGAGCCCCCTGGCCCCCCTCCCCTGCTGTCCCAGCCACCCCATGGCTGCCCCGCCTGCCCCAGCTCCGGCCCTTTAAGAAAAATAAACCAAGAAAAACTCCGCACTCACCACTCCTGCTGGTGGGGAGTGATCCCCACTGCCCCACGCCATGTGGTGGGCTCTACGCAAGCTCCCCAAGCCCCGAGGCTGCTGCAGGAGTGGTAAGTCCCGATACTTTTCTTGTTTTTTTTCTTAAAGGGCCAGAGCCATGGCGGGCAGGGCAGCCATGGGAGGGGAGGGCTGAAGGTGGGGGCCAAGGGGCTTGTGCAGAGCCCTCCATGCAGCATGGGGCAGTGGGGGACAATGGGGATTGTCCCCCCACCCTGAAGCACCCTCTGAGTGAGGGCTTTATTTTTTTAATCACCGGGAGCTGGGGCAGGCGGGGCAGCCATGGCGGGGCTGGAGGAGCAGGCAAGGGCTGGGGGCGGGCAGAGGTCCCCCCATGGTCTCCTCCGCCCCCCTCCAGCCCCACTTACCCTGCCCCTACTTACCAGCTCCTAGTCCGGCTGCAGCTCCCTGCTGCAGCCACCGGGGACTGTCTGAATCATCGAAGCTCTCTGAATCCTTTCTGAAGATTCAGAGAGCTTCAAATCGATTCGGACCTTTTAATTAGTCTCCTGATTTGATTCGGATTTGGAGATTCAGCCACCTAATCTGGCCAAATCTCCTCCAAATCGAATCAGCACCCAAAGCTTTGCGCAGCCCTACTGATTTCCCATTCATATGAGGTCCCTGTAATTCCATTTGCTTTAGTGAAGTGAGTCTTGATTTACACAAATGTAAGTGAGGCAAGACTTGAGCTCTCATGATCAGAATGCAAAATAAGCCCACAGATATCAAGAAGCATTTCAACTTTTAAGGTGTCTTAGCTTAATTCACTACATAAGTTGAAAAATATGCAATAAAATAATTGTATATAATGCTAAGGTGCAGCAATACAGAGAGAGAGAACAGCTGGTTTTTGTGCATAGTAGAAAAAAGTCATCTACAATTTGTATAAATTAGGCATGAATAGGGAATATGTAATGAAATACTTAAGTAAAATTACTCTTCAGCATGTTGCTGTGGGTGTTTGAGTGGCATGTGCAAAGGAGATTTTACATTTGGTTATCTCACCTTGTTTGTAACATTAAATCATGATTTGAAAGCCAGAAATTAAATTTTACATGATATTAAAATTTCAGGATGTTTTCCAGTGTCAGACTTTTTACTAGGTTCTTTCGATATTGTTAATGCAAAGTAACTGCAAGAGAACAGCTCAGAATTCCTGATGTGGCTAACTCTCAGCTGTACATCAGCATGCTGAAGACTACATGTGGAGTTGTCTCCTCTTATAAATTAATCAGTTTAGTGAGTCATATTATCCCAGAAGGAGGTAGCTTGGTAAATCATTATTGTACAAATTAATTTAAAAATAAGTCATTTTGAATTTAAAAAAATAAAACATTCAAATGTCTTCATTCTAAAGAGATTAGTATTTACTTAAAACAATCAGGAATCTGTAGTATTCCAAATATACAAAACTCATAGTTACAGACACTTTTATGAATAAAAGAAAGAGAAGGTAGAAGTTTTGTGCCTTCCCAGATATTTTAGGGCAGAAAGTTAGAGGACATTTTCTGATTCTGTCTGTCATGGCAGGGGGTCGGACTTGATGATCTGCTCAGGTCTCTTCTGACCCTACCAACTATGAAACTATGAAACTTCCACCTTAATTTTGGTTTTCACTAACCCTGAAAATATTCACTGCTTTTTGCAATGTTAAATCTATCTCTTGCAATAAGATGGCTTTGTCCTGGTTCTCATATATTCCACAGATTATCTGGTCTTGAATCTCTAAATTGTTCAAGTTTGCATGATTTGTCTTGATGTAGATTTGGAAAATAAGCTCTCATTGTCAAGATGGTTTCTTGCCTTTCCTAAGTGACAATTTTTTATATGGATCAAAATATTCCTGAAAATTTTAATACCTTTGTAAAATGGCCTGTCATCTTCATGATTCCATGCAGTGCACTGGAGATTTTCAGTACCTCTAGATTTGTGTCTGTAGCAATATGGAGGATATATAATCCTGTGCAGTGTCTCAACAAGATACAAAAGTGCTGCCATCACTTCTTCCAAATGTCTGCCACATCCTCTCTGATTAGGGTAGGTTTTTTTGTTGTCAATTTACAGAATTCCAAGGAAACTAATAACATAAATAATTCACGTGAGCTATTTATGGGAAACTCACATGAGAAACTATCATTTAGGAACTGAAGACACACTGTTCCTTTTTCTTCTCATTGGAAGAAGGAATTGACAGTTTGTGTTCTTGCTGCTCTATACAAAGCTCTTGTGACAAAAGAAACTGACAAAAACTTGTTTAAATATAAGGGGCCAGATTCTTAGGCAATATAAATTACCTTTGCTGAAGTCAAATTATATAACAAATAGCTATAACAAATGATACTTAGTAGGGGTTGGGCCCGAGGTTAGCTCCTCAGGTCTTTAACACAGTTGAAATCAGAATGTTTCTCAAATTTGATTATGTATGTGTGTGCCATTAGGTCAGTGATTCTTAACCAGGTGCTGAGAGCCCCTTCCAGGGGTGACAGGATGTGGGTGCCACCGCAGCCGGAGTAAAATGCCCTGTACCTCCTCTGGAGACAGATTGGGGAGCAGCTGTGACTAGAGCCAGCGCTCTTCTTGGAGCCCTTCCCTATCTGATCCCGCATGTTCTTCCTAAAAATAGAGGTGCGTTGGGCAGGTGGGACCAACTGTGCCCTCCTATTTCCAGAAGGAGTGCACAGAGTCAGATCAGAAAGGGCCATGGCAAAAGCATGTGCTCCAGCCAAAGCCCTTTGCCCTGTCCATCTGGAGGGGTCAGGCTGGACTGCAGGAGCCCTTTGCACTGCTCATCTAGAGGAGTCCTACTGTGCTAGAGCAACTGTTTGCACTGTCCAGCTGAAGAAGCTGGGTGTGGGGACACCCAGGACAGGAAAGACCACCCTCTGTTCCCTCACGCCCCATACCCCAGGGGTACAGGGCACAAAACTCATTAGTTACACCTCTGCTCCTGCCTGCTTTAGATTTATCAGAAAACCCTAATGCAGTCAGGAGTGTGGGGCAACAGCCTAGTTGAGAACCACTGCGGCAAACAGAGACAGAACAAGAATGGTTTTCAACTAGGGATGCTGCTAAATTCAAAAAAGTTGTGGAGGGGTGCCCTGACTGAAAAGGTTGAAAACTACTGAATTAGGCTAAAAGAGACCATGATGGGAAGTAGAAACAAGTCCACATGATTCTTCTGCTTGTGTAGATTATCCTTGCATACATAAAACAATTCCATACTTAGGCACTTTTGAAAATCGTCTTTACAGCAATGAGTGTTTATTTAAGTTTCTTGGGTTTAGTGGTGTGAAAGAGATTTACACTTAAACCACCATACTCAGTATACCTAACACTACCAGCTGACTTTGAATTTGTAAAATCTTGTCTTTCACTGTTAGGTTGATAAGTTGATGTCTGCATTCAGTCTTTTAATTCTCAAAGTAGACAATACATAAAAGTAATCTAAAATTATAATATTAGATCACTTTTTAGGTATTTTGCTAATCTGTTCAGTTCGAATTTAAGAACTGCAGTAATGTTTCAGAAAAAGGAACAGTCAGGCAGTCTACTCACAGTACATGCTGTGTCTCTGAGTTCATTGATTTACATGTTTCTTGGGAACAGGCTGAGCAAGAGTTCAGTTTTTCACTTTCAGGCATTAATACGAAGAAATTAACATGTTCCTTTTTTGCTGGGAAAAACTATTTTAAAATAACACTGTACAGGAACTCATGGAGTAATTCAGGAAGTGGTATCTTATTTATGACTCCAGTTACTATAAATTCCACACTCAAATGGAAAAAACGGAAAGTGCCCATACCAGTAGATGCCTACTCACCATGAAGGACACTCAGGTTTGCTCTGCCTGAATCGGATCAAGAACTGAAACCTTGGCCTCACATCTCTGGGAAATTCTGAAAGAGTTAGGTTTTACTGTTGATAGGGATGGGATGTGAGAAAGCTTACTGGCCTTACTGTTCCTATGATCCTGGATGTGAGAAATCTTTCTCAACAAATCTTATGTTCCTCTCATATGTTTCAGATTCTTGAAGGGAGGAATAGAAGGGAGGAATAGGCTGCAATTGGACCTAGACAGGTTACAGGGGTGGGCAGATGAGAACAGGATGGGTTTCAACGCTGACAAGTGCAAGGTGCTGCACCTGGGGAGGAAGAACCAGCAGCAGACCTACAGGCTGGGGAACTCCCTTCTCATCAGTGCAGAGGCAGAAAAGGATCTTGGAGTCATTATTGATGCCAAAATGAACATGGGCCGACAGTGTGGGAACACGGTCAGGAAGGCCAACCACACCTTGTCATGCATCCACAGATGCATCTCGAGCAGGTCCAAGGAGGTGATCCTCCCCCTCTATGCGACACTGGTCAGGCCGCAGTTGGAGTATTGCATCCAACTCTGGGCACTGCACTTCAGGAGGGATGTGGACAACATGGAGAGGGTCCAGAGGAGGGCCACTTGCATGATCAGGGGGCAGCAGGGCAGGCCCTATGAGGAGAGGCTAAGGGACCTGAACCTGCTCAGCCTCCACAAGAGAAGGCTGAGGGGGGATCTAGTGGCCTGTTACAAACTAGTCAGAGGGGACCAGCAGGCATTGGGAGAGTCCCTGTTCCCCCGAGCACTCCCAGGAGTGACTAGAAATAACGGTCACAAGCTGGCAGAGGGTAGATTCAGACTAGACATCAGGAGACACTACTTCACAGTCAGGGCGGCTAGGATCTGGAACCAACTTCCAAGGGAAGTGGTGCTGGCTCCTACCCTGGGGGTCTTTAAGAGGAGGTTAGACGAACACCTTGCTGGAGTCGTTTGACCCCAGTACTTTTTCCTGCCATCGCAGGGGGTTGGACTTGATGATCTGCTCAGGTCCCTTCCAACCCTACCAACTATGAAACTATGAACAGGATTACTCACAGTAAAATTATTTCTAATTTACACATAGGTAACAGTGTTTTAGGCAGAATGCCCTGGTCTACACGAGACATTGAGTGCACAGTTGTTACTGCACAGTCATTTAGTACTTGCATACACAAATACTAAATGACCGCACAGTAACCAGAGTTACTGTGAAGTAGCATTGCCGAATGGCTTTTTGGTGATGCTGGCTCTGCAGTCGCTCCTTACTACTGTGCAGTAGCATCACATCATGCTTTGTGCCATGCAATATTACTATGCAGCAGTAATGAACTACTGTGTAATCAGCATTTTGTGTAGATGTGGCCACTGTGAATTGCCCAAAATCATACAGGGATCATGTGGTAGGGCTAGGAATTATACCCCAAGCTCCTAAGTCTCATTCTATTGACAGAAGACTATACAGATTCATTTGCAGCAGGTGATTGACTTGCTTAGCTAAAAGCTACTGAAGTGCTGGGCATTTGATATTGATACTGAAGCATACAGGAAAACATGAATGTTTCAACTGTCTTTGAAGATCTTGGCCATCATTTAGAACCTGAGCTAAACTTCACACTGTAGTACTTCCCTACAACTGCATAGTTCAAGCAAAGAAATGCTAAACTTTGCCATTTTCTCACATCTTTCATTCACCTTTCCAGACTCTATTTAGGACCCTTTTTTGATGTTCTGCATAATAGTGGGATTTTTACCTCAAGTGCAAAACCAGAAAGGGATAATTCATCTGTAGGTGCAATAATGGAAAGTTGTCTGGTTTAACAATCAGGTCTCATTTGTTTGGGGGTTTTTTATTTGACAAAGTGACAAAGAATTCTAACTCCTTAGTTGGAATTGGAAGTCAAGTGCAATTATCCTCCAGCTTGTGAAATAGACACTGGCTTTGCAGGAATCTAGAAAAGCAAGCAAAGCTGAGGACACAGTAGAGGTGCTACTTGCCCATGTTTCATAATTAGGAAATGCACTGAATTCAAGATGGTAGAGTAAGTGGAAATACTTTATTCTTTGTGGACAACAGGAAAGAAAAGGGTAATAGAATCGGTAGAAGGAAAGGGTAACAGTCTTTATCATAGTCTAACTGGTTAAATATTTGTCTGATATTTTTATATTTTTCAGATGCAGAGAAAAAATGTCCTGAATTTACAGATCTTAGTTTAGGCAATGCTTTAACTGGAACAGATCTGAAAGTGCAACTACTGTTGTATACAAGGCAAAACCAGAATTGTTCTGAGAATCTCAGTGAACATAATGTAATAGCATCTAGTAGCCTGAATACAACCAAGAAGACTGTCTTTGTTATCCATGGCTACAGGCCAACAGGATCTCCACCAGTATGGCTAAATGACATAAAGGAACTTCTGCTGGCTTTAGAAGATTTTAACCTCATTATAGTAGATTGGAACCGGGGTGCTACTACTGTAATTTATCCTACTGCTGCTCATAACACCAAGAAAGTTGCATATATCTTGAAGAAACTTATTGACCAGATGTTGGTAAGTCAGACATTTGCCCTGGAAGTAAATGAATTAAAATAGCATAGTTTTGGTGTCCTATAAAAAGGGTTGATATAGGAGGAACTACAGGAGGAACATAGTAAGCACCATCATTTTGTCTGAATCAAGATGTGAACATTGTATGTACTTATTCTACATATACTTTCTGCTGTATCACGCATTCCACCTTTCTTCTCCCATTTGTTTCCACTGAAGTGAATGACAGTTTTATTTCAATGGAACCAAGATTATGTCTTGAATCCCTTGTCTTGCAATGAGTTTTAGCTATGTCAAAAAAACAGCCGCTCTTTCAAATGAGTGGTCAAGTGACACACAAAAAAACTGGTATCAATATATTGTTTAAATAAAATATTATAGAAGTTACTTCTCTAACGACTAAATAAGGTGCAAAGAATATTCACTTATGAAAATAACTCATAGGAAACATTTATAAGAAACGACTGACATAAGGCATTTAAGAACACATCTCTATTGTAGAAAGCATTTGATAAATCTCCTAGTGCTAACAGCAGCTGAGAAAACAGTTTTTCTGAATAAGGGTCTGAGCCAAAATCAACAAAGTCAATGGAAAGGCTTCTGTGGATTTAAATAGTTTTTAAACAAATGGACAAAATAATTAGAATATTATGTAAGGGAGAAGTGGGGAACATAGGAGACCGCAAGAGGGCATGTTATAGCTTGGCTGTTGGGATCAGCTAGCATTGACTATAACTGTATTTCATAGATTGATAGATGTTAGGGGCTGAAAGGGACCTTACAAGATCATCGGATCCAGCCCCCCTGCACTTGGGAAGGAAAGACTGTTAATTTATAAAAATATAATGGAAAACTAAAATAACTTTAAGAACATAGTTCCAACTCTGATGAAAACTAATGTTAACCACTTAGATTTGTACCTAGTGGAACTGTTGCTGCACTTCATGTGTATAGTTCATCTTGCTCTGATCTTGTTCCTCTAACAGTCCCTTCTTGGTACAAACCAGATCACAGGTCACAACAAACCAGGTCACAGCAAAATGATCACAAAAGAGGTGAAAAGTCAAGATGCAAAACTTCAAATACCATATTTGCAAATTGATTGTCATGGAACTCTCTAGCTATTACTTCATCTAAAGACTTAGAATACTGTTTCAGATTCCTCTTGCCTTTGGGACTGACCGAGAGAGGCTTCCAAATCATGGTTCTAGATTTCCTTACACTGGCTTTGTGTCCTTCAGTAGCTTTAATGAAAATATTATCTATTACATGTGGTAAGCATTTCCTCCCTTCAGGGTTCATTGCATGTATAGGCTTGGCAGCCTTGCTCAGTTGGCTGTGTTGCTTAAGTGCTTGTAACTAGTATTTTTTTATTTTATTGGGAGTAGGGGAAAGGGTTGCATTTAGCTGACAGTTATAGTTTCCTTTCTTATAGTTTTGTAATACATTCTCTCTTCTTCAAATAAATCAGTGAAGAAATACCATATTTACCCATATATAAGATGAGGTTTCCCCCCACCCCATTCAGCATGGGGGAAAAAAGCTCCTTGTCTGATAGTCACATACAAGGAAACTTCATTAAATACATTATCTATTACTAGACTGCTGCCAAAAGCAGCATGTGCTCAGTAATAGTAACCACCTGTTAAGTGGATTAAATGCAGCCAACGTTGAGCATGACTATAAAACACTTACTCATAGCAGGCAAACAGATGGATGGGAAACTTTGTGTGTATGTGTGTGTGTGGCCTTTAAAGACAGGTGTTACATCTTCAGGGAACTGACACCAGACCCAGAGGTACTGCTATACTAGGCTGGCACTGGGAAGGCTAGAGCCATCTCCAATGCCCTCCCCTTGGTGCCAAAAACAGATTTTGCTTTATTAGGAAATGTTAAGGATCATAGAAAAAATGACAGAGCCATAAGGGAAAAACAGAGAGCCCAAGCGAAGGACTAACATAAGAGGGATGGGGGTGAGGAGGGAAATGCAACTAGGTTACATAATTACAACGTTAGTCAGCTAAGCCCAGGAAAGGGAGGTGAGGTGGAAGAGGGGGTCACAATGCTGAGAGAGAAAGAGAATAGATACAAGCCAAAAAGACCTACCAAAAGGTTAGGTTAATATAGCCCATCTGAATAAGATCCATGAAAAAGTCCATTGTGCTGAGTCCTGCTCAGTGCCAACTCTTTTTCAAGTCATGGTGAGCCCATTAAACTGAATATATTTTGATATCCCCTTTACTCCCACAGCTAAGCTGTGCTTCTCTTTCCCATTTCCAATAATTTCTGTTTCTTCACTAACTTTAAGTGTCTGGCAAACATCACTAAGCAGGGCCCCAAACAGTTCACCAAGAAGGCCTCTATTGCCCCCTCTCTCAGCCTGTCACTGATGATTAGTGTGGCTCCACCATCAGGGGGTAAAGCCATACCAGATTGACCTGTGCCTTATCTGCATATACATTTTTGGAGGATCCCAGGACTCATGACTAGAATACCTGGCTCCAGTCCTGAGTGGGGCTAATTAGCACATGGATCCCTTGTAAACACATACTGAGAAGTGCTGAGTTGTGGGGTCACCATGACTTTAAATGCCGTTGACTCTGCTGGGGCCCTACCCGATGAACTATATGGTAAGTCATGAGCCTTTTGGCTTTGGACTAATATAATGCATGGTTTATACTATATGTAAGTAGGTACAAAAGCATTGCTCAAAATTGTATTTATGGAGTACCTGTGCTAAAACTTGCAGCAGTTACAAAAGTGAAACACATCAGTCCTGAATCAACTTAATCTATGGGAACTCATAGTAATTTGCCTAGAAGCAAATGACTACAAGCAAATTTATTTGAAAGTTAGTGGGTGCATCTACATGAGACGCTTACTGCAGAGTTGCCTAATTAGCTCCACAGTGAAGCATCACAGGTCTACAAATGTGGAGCTATTAGGCTGCAGTAAACTAATTAACTCTGTCATAGGTTAGTACTGCCAGATACAAGTACTGTCCTACAGAGAAGTTATTTACTCCATTGCAGTGCACATGTAGACACTGACAGGGCTGGCTGGGGCATGAGGCTAGCCCCTCACTGAAGTATTCTCGTCCCCCAGCCAGCCCTTCCACAGCACGTTGAGCCAGGTTGAAGCAGCCCCAGGCTGGCAGGCTGATCCCCTGGGCTTCCTGCCAGCTGGGGCTGCTCTACCCTGGCTCAATGTGCTACAGTCCCAGGCACATATGTTAATGCTGTGCCCAGGATCAATAAACTCCGGCACAAAGTGCTCCAGAGTTTATTGTGTCCCATTAATATTCACATGTAGACATGTCTAGTTTTTCAGATTTGCCCCTCATTCTATGTGCTTGTGGAGAGAAGGGTCTGATAGTAAGAATGGAAGGAAGAGGCTGCAGAGGGAAGAAGGCGGGCAAGGGCAAGAGCTGCCACCCTCAGATTTATTTTCCTTGCTGTAGCAGTAGGAAGGGGACACATTCAAGGTCTCCAGTAATTAGATTCAATACCTGGAAAATTATATCAAATTTATATATTTTCCATATATAGAATCTAATTAGTGCCGGGGGGGGGGCCCTCATCTTCTATTAAGGTTTATCTTATATTCAAGCAAATATGGTATTACTCTAGCTTTCTTCATGCATTTATATACTCAAAGAATTTCATAACTGCTGTACTGTATGTCTACTATAGAAAATTTAATAAAAAATATTTTTGTGGAATTTCCAGAGGGTTTCAAAGTCAGAAATAAAACTTAAAAGTCTGAGAAAAAAGTGAAGCGTAAATCATAGTTTACTGAGGTCTACTCAGTTAACCATATTGCAGACATTATGGTTAACATTTCTATAACCCATAATCATGGGCTTTTTTTCTTTTACTGACAGGCAGATGGAGCTTCTCTTGACTCTATTTATATGATTGGAGTTAGCCTTGGGGCTCATATAGCTGGATTCGTTGGACAGATGTATAATGGCAAACTTGGCAGAATTACCGGTAAGGCTTTTAAACTTGGTATGCATGTTCTTGTGTATATTTTCATCATTATTATAGTTAGTTGCATACCATATGGGTGCCAGGATTTGAAAATTCACAGATCTGACGTGATAAAACTATACAGTAATATGGAATAAGCCAATGCATTCTTGATGTAAATCTAGAGAGGATTTGATGCAATAGGGAAGCATCATAACAAGTATTTAGAAATACTTGATCTTTCTAAAGTTGTTTAGTCTACCACAAAAATTCTGCTTATACTTTTAGAAAGAAAATTGGCTAATATTTTCTAATTTGATTGCCTAAAGCTAAGTTCCTAAGTGAGAGTGACAGAGATCTACCACATTTGCTTTAAGAGGTTTTTAAGTGTGGATTTGCAAGTCTAATGTTAGGTGCAAGGTTTGTACTTAACAGTTTTTGTCCTAAGGCTTTATCCAATATTTCTTACAAGCTTGAAACATCTGTTGTCTTCAGTGAGAATTTTGAATACAGCAGGAATTGGGGTGCATAAAGAATACAGAACGAAGACAGGGTCTGTAATGGAGTCTGGGGAATTTTTACATGTGCTCTGGCATGGGGAGGAACTTTAATTAGAGTGGATCCGAGAGCCACTCTAGTTAAAGCGCTGCAGTGTCTCATATCAACATCTCCACACTTCAAAATGGCTGTGGGGGTGCTTTAACTAAAGCTTATTGAATAAGCTTCAGTTAAAGTGCCCTCGCTGCCATTTTCAAGTGCTGGGACACTGATACAGGAGACATGGAAGCTGTCTGAAGCATGCTAATTAGCATGCTCCAGCAGACTTGATGAATTGAGTATGTGCCATTGCACTGTAATTACAGTATGTTGGAGCAGCTTCCGCAAGTCTACAGGTATCTACAGTGCCTAACTTCAGAGGCCTGGTTCCCGGGGCAGAATCCACAGATCTGGCTTAGATACATGGTATATGGCAGGTACATGGCATGTGAAGAGTTAAGTGTTTCAGAACGGGATTCACTGAAGCCAATGTGCAGAATGGAATTGACTAAGATAACCAATAGGAAATGCTGTTTGGGGGTGAAAGTTAAATCCTACTGTTTTCAAGAGCTGAGGTGCTTAATACAATAGTCCAGTAAGACAGTCACAAAACATATTGGAGATCTGGTTTCATTTCCCTTCTTTTCCTGAGGATATTCAAACCCTAATTCTTCCATCTGGACAGTGTCCTAGTCATCAGAGAAGAGGCTATTCTGGATAAGGGCAGTGTTGCAAAAATGGCATCGTTTTGGGCTGCTGCAGTTATGAAAACCTAGCAGCTTTATATCAGTTGTCATTTCAACTGAGGGGAAATAAATGAAAGTGTGAAAAGAGTTCTAATCTCCTTCAACAACAGATTTTGCTGAAAATAATTAAAGAAAAAGACTTGAATAACTGGATTAGTAAAAACAAAATTAGGTCCCTGGCATTTGATACATGGGAGGACACTGAAACAGGAAATTGGGTTGACAAAATGTGTTAGATTGTACTGATACCAGGAGAATGGGTGGACTGAATGGAGCGATCATCATCATGTTTGTCATGATTACCATCTTTGAGACCCCAAGATCCACCATCTCACTATTGGACCTTTTTTCTTTTCTGGTTCAGAGTGATAACATGACCCGACTAACATAGGACATGCTTACACATTACGGGGTACCTATACATGTGCCCAATGCCTGCTAATTAGTATGGGGTGGAGCAGACTCAATTAATCGAGTCTGCTGGAGCGTGCTAATTAGCATGCTTCAGCAGCCTCAGCATCTTCTGCATTCAGCATCCTTGCGCTTCAAAATGGTGGTGGGGGTGATTTAACTAAAGCTTCTTGAATGAGCATTAGTTAAAGTGCCCCTGCCACCATTTTGAAGCATGGGACACTGAATACACAAAGCGCTGCAGGCGCCTTAATTAAAATGGCTCCTGAGAGCCACTTTAATTAAAGCACTTCCACCCTGGATCACGTGTAAAGATGCCCACAGTTAGTACCTGCTAACTTTAAGGAGGGTTAGGGCTTGTTATAGTGATCGTGTGTTGTGAGCACATTTTGGGTTAATACCTTCTGTAATGTGCACAGCTCTGAGCTGCCACCAAAGGGCTGGCAAGAAGGGGTGTGGCAAGGAAGTGACAAGTCTGCTTCATGCCTGCCAGCTCTCTAGTGGCAAAACACCCTGTTATCCCCAGCACAGCATTCCTTCCCCCCCAACACAGCATGCACACACACCCCCAGCCCTCAGTCCAACCCTGCACCCCATCCGCAGACTTGCCTTTGACTGCCACCAAGCAGCATGACTGGGCCACGTGCGCAGCAGTGGAGGAGCAGCCATCCCTGACTGCATGGAGCTGTGCAGAGCCCAGGCACGTGGAGAGCTCCCTTATTGCCACTTGGCAGCAGCTAGAGGCTCACCATGTGAACACCACCTCCCCCTCGCACCGCTGCTACTCTTGTGTGTGTATTGTGCTGTTATGTGGGCGAGTGTGTTGTGCTGTGTTGTATACGTGTTGTGCTGTGCTCTGTGTGTTGTGCTATCAGTGTGTGTGGGTTGTGCTGTGTGCATTGTATTATTATGCTGTGTGTCTTTTGTTGTTCTGTGTGTGTATCCCTCATCCCAGCAGCCCAGCAGCTCCCTTCCTTCCTCCTCTGCTTGACCCACTGCCTGTCCCCTTTCCTCCTCACTCACCAGCTGCTGCTCCACTGGTCAGGCTGTCAAGGGGGAGGCAGGAAAGCATCAGTGTCCAGAAGGACAGCTAGTCTACCTGGGAGCAATGCCTTCTGACATACTAGAGGACTGTGCATTGGTCATTTGATCTCCCATAAAGAATTAGAAGTTAGGCAAAGCTGAGCTGGCTAGCACAACTCAAAGAAAATCCTTACATCAACTTGTGTAACTTTAAGATGCCTAGAGGGCACCTGCCACTTGTTAACAAGCATGAATGTGTGATGCTTCATATTTTAAGAGTTGTTAATAAGGTACAATTGTAATTTCTAATCTCACCCACAGAAAGAGGGAGAGATTATGCCACCATCTCGCTGGATCCAACTAGGTTTTAAACAAAACCTGGAGTCTGATACTTGGATTCCTTCTCTCAGCCTCTCATGTCTCCTTTTCCTTTACGCCTTTTACGTTCTTTTCTTTCTCTGTCTTCTTGCCTTTGTTTAACACATCCTGCTTTGTTAGACCAGAGTGAGACTTTTGCAACACTGCTGTGAGTGTGTCATCAGAAAGGTTGCTAAAATTGATGTTGTCAGTTGTCCAACACCACTACAGATTAGGTCTCAGAGCAGCTCAAGGGTGGCATGCTGTGCCAATTTTTGCTTCCAGGTTTGTAAGCAAGATTCAGCATGAGAGACAGAAGATGCATTTTCTAATTTTGCTACTGTTTTCTCTCTAAGTGTTGTGTGCTTGTCTTATGTTATCTTTGGGGATACAAGATTGGACCCCAATAAGTAAATTCTTCTTTTTACCCCCATGTAAAGGACATCTTAAAAACTGTTCACTAAGAGAATTGCCCTCATTAAAATGCTTTACAGCTTTGGTGAAAGAGGATAAGGACGGTTGTTAAAATTCCTGAAACAAATTATTTTGTCTTTCTTTTCTTGAGATGAGGGAGAGTTTCTAGGGTATAGGCTAAGTAATCTTCTGATAGATGCTGCTAAGCTTGGCTGAATGTATGAGATGAATTAGTTAATTTAATGTTAATTTATTCATAAAGGGTGAGTCATTGATGCTACACTGTGTATGAATGTTGTTTTGGAGTGGATTGTAGATGCACCTGTTCAAACTGTGGTTTTGATTATAGATAAATTGCCACATGACTTTTTTCAGGTCTTGATCCTGCAGGCCCTTTGTTCACTGGGAAACCTCCAGATGAGAGGCTGGATCATACAGATGCACAGTTTGTTGATGTCATTCATACTGATATTGATGGTAATAACTCAGCTTTTGCTTTCCTTTTTGCACTGAGGTGGAAACAGAAAAAACAGAATGCAAGTGAGGAAAAGGAAGGGAGGAGGTAAAATAGGAGCACCTACTTAAGATTGCCTTGGTTCATCCTGTCAATAAGGAGAGTTTATGTGTTGTGTCCTTAAAAGTGTCTGACCAGTGCCTATTGAAGTCAGTGGCAAGAAATAAGTCTGATGAGGCAATTTGAATATAAAATGGAAATGGAATAAATGACAACCGTTAGAGGTGAAGGACCTATTCCTTCTGCTCTTACATGAGCAGTTATACTTTCATCAGTGGGGTTAATTAAGTTAAGAGCTTCAGCATTGGGCCTACAGATAATTGGAATCACATTCTTAAATTTAAAAAAATCAGTACATTTGTAGAAATGCGCAGATAATCATTTCACACACAGCTCCATTCGAGATTACGATTCACTGGAGTGTAGATCTCTTTCAGTCTTTTACTTGTAGAATTAAAAGAATATAATCTCCCATTACATGAAAATATCTATGCAATCAGTTAATTCAAAATAGGGATCTTTGTGAAATAGTTAAGCATGACTGTTAGTTTACAGTACTCACATGCTGTCCACACACACTTTAAGAATCGTGAGCACTTTCATATGAAATTATTTTGTCAGAAAGGCAGCTGCACTTCCACCATTTTAAAGGAGTAGCTTTTGTACACGTGAAGACAGATTTAGGTCCGCTGTTTAGATTCTTGTGCAGAACCATATTCATATGATGCTAATATTAATAATTTCATTGTCAAGAAAATGTCTTGGTATTGGCAAGAAAAATCAAATCAGGATTCCTTCCACTAATACCAGAATTCTGCCAAAATACAATTCTCATGATTTTCAGGAGCTCAATGTCAATGGGAATATTGTGTAAATCTAGTTAGAACAATAGACATTTTACATAAGATTAATTCTGCTTTTTAAAAAGTAAATAGTATATATTATAATAAAAATGTACAAATTACAAATTCAGTGCCAAGGGTTTGGAACAGGCTCCCCCCAGAGGTGGTACAGTTGCCCACCCTGGTGATCTTCAAAAAGTGTCTTGACATGCACCTTGCTGGGGTAATCTGATCCCAGCACTGGGGTCATCAGATCCCAGGAGTTTTTCCTGCCTAAGTGCAGGGGGGCTGGACCTGATGATTTGTAAGGTCCCTTCTAGCCCCTAACAACTCTGAAACTATGAAAATTACACCAAGGCAGGAGGGGATTAAAAACAGTCCTAGGGCTACTATGGTTGATTCAAGTAAGGTTTTATTGGCTGTGGCATAAAGGGAGTGAAGCAGGTGGCACTACATTTAGCCAGTTTTTATTTCCCATACCAGCTGACTTGACTGCTGGTGATGTTTAGCATCAGTCTGGACTGAAGCTCAAATTTAAGCCCAGGGAACCATATGAAGTCACTTTCGTCATTCTGGGCACCTATACACATACACTGAGATTGCTCCGATGCACTGTAATTGCAGCACATCAGATCAGACTTGATTAATCAAGTCTGCTGGAGCATGGTAATTACTGCACTCCAACTGATTCTAGCATTACATGTATCAGCATCCTCACACTGAAAAATGTCAGCAGGTACACTTTAACTAAAGCTTGTCAAACAAACTTTAGTTAAAGCACCCCCACCACCATTTCTCAGCGTGGGGATGTTGATACACATGATACTCTGGGTGCTTTAATTCACCCTCTCCCACCCTCCAGAGCATGTGCATAGATTAGGCTTGTCCAACATACGGCCCGTGGGCCACCATTCGGCCCGCCAAGCCGTTTTCTGTGACTCATGGTGCTGTGACAGGAAACAAAGGTAAATACGGTTTACTTTCATTCCCACCCCCTGTCCCTCCCCCAGCCCCTCAGCAGCTTCCTAATGGCTGCTGAAGGGCTGGGGAAGGGACAAGGTTCCCACGCACACCATGTCAGCTTGACGTTGCCAACGCGGTGCGTGTGGGAAGAGGAGTAGCCATGTGCCTCTCGGGACAGGATTAGCCCAGCTGGAGCAGCAGGGGCTCAGCTGCACTTTCCCCCTACCTGCGCTGGTCAGTCCCGAGCAGCACATGGCTCCGCAGCGGGGCAGAGCCGTGTGCCGCTTGGGACTCACTGGCGCAGGCAGGGGGAAAATGCAGCTCAGCCCCTGCTGCTCTGGCTGGGCTCGTCCCGTCCCGTCCTGTCCCAAGTGGCACATGGCTCTGCCACTGCTTCTGCTGGCTGGTGCAGACCTGGCCGGGCTCCTCCCATCCCCAGTAGCTCATGGGAAGTTGGTTTCAGCCACATGCTGCTCCAGATGGGACAGACCCAGATGGGCCAGCATTGGCCAGGAAAAGTGGCATGCTGCTGAAGCTGCCTTTCCATGTGCTGCTGGGGATGGGAGGAGCCCAGCCGGGTCTGCACCGGCCAGCAGATTGGTAAAATGTGACAAGCCTATGGCTGGGGAGGGGGCAGGCTCCCTAGATCTGAGACCTGATGTAGGCTATGGCACAGAGACTCACTCTGGAACAACGTGCTAATAAACTTGTGTCTGTGCCTGCCAGGAACCCAAGTAGCAGGTGGTTGATACCTGGTAAAGTCATGTTATTAAAGACTGCTTATTGCTTTCTGTGTGGCCTTCAAAATGCTTTTATCCTACTAAAATATGCCATACTTTGTGAGAGTCATTGCCTTTGTATGAGAAAGCAGAATCATAGCCACTGAACTAAATTCATGCCCCGTGGGAATAATCACAATTCAGCAAAATGGGCGGGAAGGAAAAGCCAGAGTTCTAAGTGTGCACCCTAAAAGAGGCCATGAAAGAGTCAGAAGCACAACCTTAGAACCAGGACAGCTATCCAGTGACGGCAGTCCAGTAGGCATGATGGAATCCTCTACTCTCATGAGATTTAGGAAAGCAAGAGGACATGAGAACAACATGTAGGCAGAGACAGTGCAGGGCCTTGGAGCCATGCTAATAAGTGAGGACTACTGTGTTCCCACTCTGGTCAGTGACTAATTGTGGGTACATCTTCACCAGCTTCAAGCCACTCAAACCTGCTGCCAAAAAATAAGCCCTTCCTACCCACTTACACTTTACCTGCTCTGAACTGGAAATGAGGCAGTGAGGGCCCTTCTAGGGTGGTCCAAGGACAGTAGAAGCAGATCACACACAGAGAGTGAGAGATGTTCCCAGAATGTCCTCACCACCACATTTCTTCTGAAAAGCAGGGCTATCCTGAGGTTCATTTAATGTTTATAAAATGCTTGGAGCGCTCCACATAGATGCACTGCATAAAAATGCAAAATATATTTTTACTTATTTGGTTGGCACCTTGGCCTGAGATTTTCAAAGCAGAGTCAAAAGGCCAACTTCCATTAAAAGGAATGGGATTTAGAGGGCTCCAAATCTTTTATGACAACTTTGTAACACACCTATCTACCTGTTTTTGCAAATCTCAGCCATAGTTTTGAAGCTCAGTCAAAGAACATAAGAGCATAAAAAGTGCCATGCTTGGTCAGCCCAATGGTCCATCTAGCTCAGTATCTTGTCCTGAACAGTGGCAGAGGTGGATGCTATAGAGGGAGAGTTTTGAACTGGTTAGATCCATTTCATTGTCACTTCCTGCAACTTCATTGGTGTCAAAGGTCACGTGACATCACTTCCTGATGTGATACCGCTTCCTGTGAGGTCTTTGAATGTAGCTCGCTGGCCCACTGGGTGATAAAAAGTTCATGATCCGGCACCACATTCAAAAAGATTGGATACCCCTGGGATTGGTACTCTCTATGTTTTTGCAGAACAGGATAACTAGAAAAAAAAAAAAAGAACATGTTCATCTGATTTTACAGAACAAAAGGAAAAGAAGCTCCAAAAATATTTTTTACCTTTTGAGGCTGCATCTTCATCATTTGAAAATTCCCATTGTGTACTTTACTGTTGTTTATGTTGTTTCTCCTTTAGCTTTTGGCTTCAGGAAACCCTTGGGAAATATCGATTTCTACCCAAATGGAGGGGCAGATCAGCCTGGCTGTCCACAAACAATCTTCAGCGGTAAATAAAGATATGTTCATTTAAATTAGGAGCCAATCATGTAAAAAGTTATCTACCACCAGTAAGAGAAGGACTGAATTCAGTAGAGACTGTATATACACAGGCTGCATACATACATACAGATAATCTGGGAGAATTCTCCCAGGTTTTTTATCATGGTAGAATAACTTACCAAGAGCTCAGTGTACAGACATTAAAATATTGAGGCCTTAAAGAGTGGCGAGCTTGTGGTGTTGATACTGTGCTGCCAGGGGAGGCTGTGTGCACATTTCTCAGCGTACTCTGCAGACTCCTTTATTCTGCCTGGGGAGAGATGGCTACAATGAATAGGGAAGCTCTGATTGGCTGACCCAGACTGTCCGTGGTCAGCTTGTATTTCCCTGCAGTACAATGTGGGAATTGTGAAGGGAGTGTATTTTGCTCCCTGTTTGGAGCAGCAGAGTCCAGCAAGTGAAACATTGTCTCCCTGGGGACTTGTTGGGGTGGTGGTGGGTGAAGATGCTGGAAGACTATGTTCTCTTCTGAGAGAAGCACAGCATGTACAGACACTCACTCTCCCAGAAGAGAATCTCTCAGGAGTGTCTCCTAGGAGTGATTTAACCCTGGTTGTTCCCAGGTTATTTTTCTCCTGGAGCAGCCATTTTTACTCTGAGAGAAAAAGCTTTAATATATGTACACTCATATAATTAGTGCCTGATAGATACCAGTGCATTCTCTCTGTTTCTTACCCACTTTGCTATTGAATGAATGAGAATCAGTGAGTACACACTGCTGCTTAGACTTCACAAAAATCCTTCTCATATGTAGATGGATATCTTGTCAGCCTGTAGGTGAAGGTTTCAATACTGAAAAATATATCTCCCTGCTATAAGTTATCATTATCCTACATATATCATAACTATTTATGGTATGTACAGTATGCATATGACATAAACTATTCATGTATGTGGAGAATCTATGTAGAAAAAGGCATTGTAATGTATTGGAATATTATAGACTTCTTTTATGTTCTGTCTACAGTAACTAGAGCAGTTGTGGGGAGAAGAAAAATTCTGGGTAACATGGTTCCAATACACCCCTGTTTTGAATGGGTTGGGAGATCAATGGGAACTAGAATTTGCTGTGAAGGATAAAGGGCATCTATCTGGATGGTGCTGCAGGATTCCTGGGAATCTGTAACCTGTTTTGTGGGGAGAAGCAAAACTTATTCCCCAAAAGAGCTATCTGAAGGAAATTCCATGCGGCAGTCTTCATGGAAGATCTCTCCCAGGGGAAGGGCAGTTTGTCCCATCTTACCATGGCCTTGTATTTAGTCACGGTATCCTTGTAAATTTGTGGGAGCATACAAAATGCCTCACTACCTCATTGAGTAGTTCTGTATTGTGACTCCTATTTTAATTCCTTGCCTTTTCTTTCCTAAAGGTAAATTTCTTTCCATAAGTGTAAATTAGGTATTCACCTTTTCTAAAGTTGATCATTTGGTGTATGTCCTTTCCCCCTTTTTTTATTAAAGGAAGTAAATATTTTAAATGTGACCATCAGAGATCTGTTTACTTGTTCCTGTCATCCTTGAAACGGAATTGCAACATAACAACATACCCTTGTGATTCATACTCAAATTTTAAGAAAGGAAAATGTGCTAACTGTGAAGATTTTCATCCAGCATCATGTCCAGTTCTGGGTAAGTGTTATTTAGCATGTCTTTTGTAAGAGGGAACAAAATAATAAGATTCTTCTTAGAATACAGCTGTTTTTAAAGTGGATTGTACTAACCATAAATATTGCAGGACCACTGCCAAGAATCTGTGGAAAGTGCTTGTTTGAAAACTGCCTAACGTTCAAAAGTAATATAAAGTTTTAATGCTTTGGGTCGTTTTTAAAGGTTTCTGTGTTGGCAAGGGGGTTAAACTCTATATAACTCTCTTCTTTGGGTCAGAAGTAGATTCACAACATGCTTCCTGTGTAAGCTCTAAGAAGTTGCTTCTGTGTAATCTAATAAATCATCAAAGTAGTTTATATTGCTGCCTATCATCATATTATCTAAGTGCCTTTCACATAAAATCAATAGCAATACTGAAATCGCTACCATACTTAATGGACACTCTGGCTCTTTTCCCCTTTTAAGCTGAAAGGTCTGCTTGGGAAACATTTTGTTTGGTTTGGTTTGCTTAAAGTAAGTAGTTGGAAGCAGTGGGAGGCTATAAGGGAAGAGTGTGTGAGCAGAGCCTTTCTGCTGGAAAAGTTTCTCAGAGAGGAACGCTTCCTGAAGATGGGAAAACTCTGACTCCACTTGATCTCTTGTGATAAAATATATATCAAGAGTGTAGCCTTACGTTAGGGTACAATTAGGGAACTGTTTAGTTCCTATTGCCCTACTTCAAAAAAATACAACAGAAAGAACAGACAGACAACAAACTAATTAGCAGCAGTATAATGAAGGTGGGGAAATAGGGAAAACAGTGGGGGTTTGGGAGTGAAGAAAAAAGATAGCATTTGCTGTGGCTGTCCAATTATGGCAGCAGTGGCAACCAGAAATTGCTGCTGCCGCTGTGTGTGGCAGTCAATCCAGGTGCCCGGCCTGTTATTACATGGCTGCTAATTAGAGGCTGGGGAGAGATTAAAAAGATTTGGAAATTTTAGTTTAGAGCAGACAGGAAATAGGGGGAATATTACTGAAGTATGCAACAAATTAAAAAAGGAGACTCACATTGAGTTTGGAGATTTGGCAGAATTGAAAGAGAATTAAGCACATCACAAAATTAAGAGAACATCCACAAATATATTAAAAAAGAGCATGGCGATGATGGTAATTAAAAAGGGCACATTTACTTTTGTAAATCAGTGACAAGTAGGAGAAAATGTAACTTATGGATATGTTATTCCATAACAGTTCATGAAGTTTTTTGCATCTTGATGTGAAGCAGTTAGCGCTGCTTGCTTTTACTGTTAGGATGCCAGATGAACCACTTTACTCCAATGTAGCAATTTGGATGATGCTAGTATAGCAAGAGAAATTTAAGAGGTCTGTTGGAGACTGAAGAGAGTAGGGAAATATGTGTCACCTGCCAGACTGGCTGGATTATTCTTATATTTTCCATTTCATTTTGCTTTCCCAGTGAATGCACTAAAAAACTAAAGCAAAGTTTATCACCCTCTGTAGTTTCCTGAAAGGGCAATAATAATAATTTGTCATTATTTTGCTCAGTTACCTCATGTCAAATGTATAAAATTTTGGATTTCAGGTTATTATGCAGATCTGTGGAAAAAACAGCTCCGCAAAAAGAACCCTCCAGAAACAACAGCTTATTTAGATACCTTGGAACAAGAACCATACTGCAGTGAGTGACTATCTTTTATCTATTTCACACTTACCACACTTCCTTTAATATTATTATTATTGTTTATTAACAGAGCTAGAAACGATAGTACATGCTTGATTACATTTTGAATGTTGTTGCTATATACCACACAAAATAATGGAACAAAAAGCTCTGAACAATTAGTTAAATGCCACTGTATAGTGTGAGGAACACAGAGGGATGGTCTCAGCAGAATGGGCAGTGATGAGCAAGTAGAACTTGAGAGAGAAAGAAATGAGGCTGCATTAGGTGAGAGGCATAGCTGGACTGCCAAGAGAAAAATGGGAGTCACTGAAGAAACTAGTTTAAGTAAGAAAGAAGAAGCTGAGCTGAGAAGAGAACCTCTTGAAGTGGCAAAAGCAATGGAATGTGTTTGTGCAGGAAAGAAAAATGAATGCAAAGGAATAAACTGTCTGATATGACAGGCAGAGTGAAAAACTGATAAAAATACCAGTTGAGAAATTAGATCAGTAAGCAAGTCAAGAAGACAGGGTAGTTATTGAGTGAAGCAGGGTAAGTATTTAATCCCTAGGATTTGAAATAGGGAGGAAATAAAAGGGACCTTAAAACCAAGTAAAACCTGAGACACTCCAGGGTTAAACAAACTAAAGGTGTTTATGTAAAGTTTGGCTTGGTTTCTGAGCAAAGAATAATTAAAAACAAAAAAGAAAAAACAAGCAAGCAAACAAAAAACCCTGGCTCTTAAGTAGAAAAGTTGCCTGACAGTCCAGGACACTGAAGTCTTCTTTTAGTTAGTTCTGCACTGGTCCGGTCCTGTAGGGAGAATACCAGGAAAGCCAAGGCTGCAACTGAACTCCAGCTAGCTTTGAGCATCAAGGACAATAAAAAGTCCTTTTTCAGATATGTGGGGAGCCGGAGGAAAAGCAGGGGCAACATTGGACCCCTGC